TTAACTCTGTTCCTGTGTCAAATAAGCACGAGATCCTGAACTGTTTCAACAAACATTTTGTTGCTTCTGGTTCTTTATTTGACACAGTTACTAACAGAAAATCAGCCATTTCCCCTAATAACCAAACTTCTACAAATCAAATCCTTCCTACAAGTCAATCCTCAGTTAATCACACCTTCTCTTTTTCTCCATTCTCAGTCAGTGAGGTCAATAAACTGTTAAAAGATCTTGACCCTAAAAAAATCTGCAGGTCCAGATGAACTTCCACCTTATTTCTTAAGGCTGGCTGCTCATATCGCAGTCCCTGTGACCCACATCTTCAATCTTTCCATAAGACAAAACTCCATCCCAGACACTTGGAAAACAGCCTTTGTTCTTCCTTTGCTGAAGGGAGGTGACCCCACCTCACTGAACAACTATCAACCAATCTCTAAACTCTACATTTTAGCCAAGGTTCTAGAAAAACTGATAAACTCTCAAATCAAAAATGACCTTGACTCATTTAACATCTTACCTCCACATCAATCTGGTTTCAGGAAACAACACAGCACAACCACTGCTTCACTGAAGGTTCTTAATGACGTTGTTGAAGCACTGGATGCTAAGGATTATTGTGCTGCACTTTTCTTAGACCTGTCTAAAGATTCTGACACTGTGGATCAGAACATCTTGTGTCATAAACTCTCAGAAATGGGTTTCTCAGAACACACCATTGGTTGGTTCTCCAACTATCTTTCAGACCGGAGGCAATGTGTTCAACATAATGGTACTTCCTCCAGTTATTTAACAGTCAACAATGGTGTACCACAAGGCTCAGTCTAAGGACCCACCCTCTTTACAATCTACATACATAATGTAGGTAAAAACATCCCTAATGCATCCATACATTTTTATGCTGATGACACAGTTGTTTATTATCGAGCTAAAACTGTTGCTAAGGCTTTCCAGCTTTTGAAATCTGCGTTTAACTACATCCAGACTGATTTGTTCCGCCTCAAACTTGTCCTAAATGCTGACGAAACCAAAGGGATGCTTTTTTCAAATAGGAAGTTGGTCCCAGCAGTTCTTCCTCCGATTTTATCCTCAAATGGTGTCCCCATTGAGTTTGTTGATTCCTATAAATATTTGGGTATCTTGGTTGACTCACATCTCTCTTTTAAGCTCCATGTGGAAAACTTGGTAAAGAAACTGAAAGTTAAACTGGGTTTCTTTTTCAGAAACAAATCCTGTCTAACCCTGAATGCTAGAAAACGTCTTATATCTGTGACTTTCCTTCCCTCAATTGATTATGGTGACATTATTTACATGAACGCTCCTACAAGAACCCTGCAGATGTTGGATGCTGTCTATCATGGTGCACTAAGATTCATAACTGGCTGTGATTATCGTACGCACCACTGCACCCTGTATTCACTGGTTAACTGGACATCATTAACTTCACGCAGACTCTCTCACTGGTACATTTTCATCTTTAAATCACTTCTTGGTCTGCTGCCTTCTTACATCTCCTCCTACATATCTCTGCGTGAGTGCAGCTACAGCGTGCGCTCTCAGGACTTTATTACCTGCAGTGTTCCCTCAATGAGGACTGAACTAGGCAAAAGGACCTTCTCCTACTCCGCTCCTGTTTCCTGGAATATCTTACAAAAAGATTTGAAGCTCTCGGCCTTGACCTTTCTAAGTGGCTTTAAGAATCTGTTGGACTCCTGGCAGGGACCAATGCAGACATGTTCCTGTTTTTAGTTTTCTACATTCGCCTTAGAATCTAGCTGTTTTTTTTTTTTGTTTGTTTTTGTTACCTTTTCCTTTTAGCCATCCTATTTGTAAAAAAAAAAAAAAAAAAAAAAAACTGTATTATGACTTTTTATAATTGTTTATTGTTGTTGCTGTTGTCCATTGTTGTCATCTTTCTTTGTTGAAATCAGGTCTCTCTTATAAATGAGTCCTCGAGGCTCAATGGGATTTACCTGTCTAAATAAAGGTTGATTGAAGTACACACAGATATACATGAAGTACAAGCATGAAGACCAGTCAGGAGAATCTGCCATGAGCTGTGTGTGAAGCTTGTTTTTATACCATAATATTTGGTCATTTTCCTCAGTAAATAAATGACCAAGTATAATATTTTTGTCTCTTTTGTTTAACTGAGTTCTCTTGATCTACTTGTAGGATTTACGTGAAAATCGGATGATGTTTTAGGTCAAATTTGTGCAAAAATATATAAAATTATAAACTTCACAAACTTTCAAGCAGCACTGTACACTCTGACTGCTTGTTGTGTGGACAGATCGAAGTGATGCATTATGGGAAGGATCGTTCCCTCGGGCTGATGAGAAGGACGAGGACGAAGAAGATGAGGAGCTAAATGTTGCTAGAGCCACTGAAGAAGATGAGGGGAGCCCTGTAATGAAGAAGAGGAGAGAGGAGACACTACAGCCTCTACAAGCCTGCTCCTCCTCACTTTCTCTGTCTGCCTCTGTATCTTCCACTTCTCCTCAGCCAAGCCCTCCTCTTGACCTTCCCGTTTGTGCCAAGAACATTTCACTGACAGCAAGTGGAGAGAAGGTGATTCTGTGGACAAGGTGCGCCTCTACCTGTACGATGCAAACACTAGCTGCAGTAGAGTAACTTCTGTAATTTATGTATTTATTTTATTTATTTATTTATTTAGAGAAGCTGACCGAGTGATACTGATGATGTGTCAACAAGAAGGTGCCAATCAGAACACGTTTCAGATCATCTCCAGTCTGCTCAGCAACAAGACGCCCAGTGAGGTGATTAGATGTTCGGTCTTCAGCTCCTCTTGGATTATTCTGTTTTCATCAACTTGTCTCTCTCCAGGTGTCTCACAGGTTTCGAGATTTGATGAGACTGTTTCGGACGGCAGCTCGTCACACCAGCTCAGAGGATGAAGCTCCGCCCACTGAGCCAGCTGCAGCCAATGACACAGAAGACTGACCAATCAGAAAAAATTATATGGACAATCGGTAGATGACAGATATGTTCACTGTGTGAAATAAATGTAAATTGTTTTATTGTAATTTATTGGTGAGTTCTTTTTGTAACCAGTTTTTGTCTCAGTGTCAGTAAAAGACATGTCTGTCAGGATTATATCAATGAGGATCTGTTTGTTTGGAAAAGTCATCCATCCATCCATTTTCTTCCTCTTATCCTGGGTCGGGTCTCGGGGGTAGCAGCCTAAGTGGGGGGCCCAGGCTTCCCTCTCCTCAGCCACTTGGGCCAGCTCCTCCGGGGGAATCCCAAGGCGTTCCCAGGCCAGATGAGAAACATAGTTTCTCCAGTGTATCCAGGGACTTCCCCTGGGCCTCCGCCCATTGGGACGTGTCCGGAACACCTCACCAGGGAGGCGTCCAGGAGGCATCCTAACAAGATGCCCGAGTCACCTCAGCTGGCTCCTCTCATTGTGGAGAAGCAGCGATTCTACTCTTGAGTCCCTCCCGGATGACCGAGTTTCTCACCCTAGCTCTAAGGGAGAGCCCAGACACCCTGCGTAGAAAACTCATTTCAGCCACTTGTATCTGTGATCTTGTTCTTTCTGTTCAATTAAATTTCAATTCATTGTATTTACATAGCGCCAAATCACAACAGAGTTGTCTCAGGGCACTTTACAGGAACATTCACATACATAGAAAATCCAATTAGTAAAGTTCTCTATCTAAGGAGGCCAGCAGACATGTTGAATCTTTGCTTCGTTGCAGTCTCCCATCCTTGGCAAGCACAGTGGCAACAGTGGAAAGGAAAAAAAACTCTTTTAAAAGGAAGAAACCTCCAGCAGAACCAGGCTCAGGACAAGTGGCCATCTGCTTTGACCGGCTGGGTTGAGAGGACAGGAAGGAGAGACGAACGAACACAGAATGGAAGGTCCAGATATAGGTCCAGCTGTACCTGAAAGACAAAAAAAACACGTTAAGGATATAAAAAATTAATTAAAAATACAAAACAAATTGAGCAGAGTAAGTAAAGGCAGTAGCAGAGTGAAAAAAATGTGGTCAGTTTGTACTCCAGCAGTCTTAAGCCTATAGCAGCATAACTAAAGCCACCAGTATACTGCCGCGTACGTCCATACGCAGAGGTACGAGCGTAACCCCCAGGGCATGTCCGTGCAAAGCTCAAATTTTTACGACCGCGTACGCGGTGTCACACAATAAACTGCCCAGCGACAGACTGTTTTGTATGCGACACCAATGTATTAAGTCAAGTCATATTTATTTATAGAGCACAATTTAAAACAGATAGACTGTTATCAAAGTGCTTATTAAATTCCCCTTCTTCCCTGATCTGGCCTTTTCTTTTGTTTTTTTGCCAAGAGGCAAGTGATCTCTTCCTCCTCCGTTGATGCCATGACTGAAATGGTGAGAAATGAAGAAATTTGTCACGAACAAATTAAACTCAGGTCCAGCGTGGCTGCAGCAGGGTTTGGAGATTTCCTGGTGGGCTGGTCTGATGTGTGGGCTGTAGAGCCAGTGCTCTCTGGTTTTTTTTTTGTTTTTTTTAGATCTTTTTATTAACAACATATAAACACAGAACACCGCTGCGGCGGAGGCTGCCAGCGCTCGCTTTTTTTCTTTTTTCCAACCTGTGAATCAATCCAGTAGGTGTGTCAGCAAATGACCAATCGGCGACCTCAATTTGTCCCGAAGGTAAACGCCCTTGTCTGTGAAGCTGCTCTGCAGCTGCTCGGGGTGTACGCTGGAGTACAAAGTCTGAACACTCTGCATACAGTACACGCGTACGTACGCGTGAACGGACGTACGTGGCAGTATACTGGGGGCTTGAGGGACAGCTCGGGAAACCCAAGCTGACCCTAACTATAGGATTTAGCAAAAAGGAAAGTCTTGAGCCTAGTTTTAAAACTGGATAATGTGACAGCCTCACGGACAGAGATTGGAAGTTGGTTCCAAAAGAGAGGAGCCTGAGAACTGAAAGATCTTCCTCCCATTCTGATTTTGTAAATTCTAGGAACCACAAATAAACTTGCAGTCTGAGAACGAAGTGCTCTGTTAGGAAAATATGGAGCAATAAGATCTGTAATATAAGATGGAGCTAGGTTGTTGAGAGTTTTGTAGGTTAGAAGTAAGATTTTGAATTCTATTCTGGATTTGACAGGGAGCCAATGGAGAGAAGCTAAAACTGGAGAGATATGATCTCTCCCATTAACTCCAGTTAAGACTCTGGCAGCAGCATTTTGGATCATCTGAAGACGTTTTAAAGAAGTATTTGGACACCCAGATAATAAACCATTGCAATAGTCCAGTCTAGATGTGACAAATGCATGGACCAGTTTTTCTGCAACATTTTTAGATCAGATGTTTCTAATGTTAGTGATATTACGCAGGTGGAAGAAGGTGGTTCTAGTGAAGTTTTTCATGTGGGGGATAAAAGACATGTCCTGATCAAAAATAACACCAAGATTTTTAACATTAGAGCTGGAGGACAGATTAATGCATCTAAGGAGGGAGAAAGACTGAAACATTCATTCCTAAGGTGCTCAGGTCCAAAAACTAAAGCCTCAGTCTTGTCTGTTCAACAGGAGAAAATTAAGGGTCATCCAGGTTTTTATGTCTTTAAGACATGCTTGTAGTCTAAGTAGCTGATTGGATTCATTGGGTTTAATGGACAAACATAATTGTGTGTCATGAGCATAACAATGAAAATGTATCCCATGCTGTTTAATAATTTTACCTAATTGAAGCATATATAAAGTAGAGTATTGGCCCAAGCACTGAGCCCTGAGGAACTCCATGACTAACTTTGGTGTATGAAGAAGATTTATTATTTACATTTACAAACTGGAATCTATCAGATAGATATGATTTAAACCATTTTAGAGCTGTTCCTGTAATCCCAACATCATATTCAAGCCTCTGTAGTAAAATATTGTGATCAACTGTATCAAATGCAGCACTGAGGTCTAACAGGACCAATATAGACACAAGTCCATTGTCTGAGGCCATGAGAATATCATTAGTGACTTTTACTAGTGCTGTTTCTGTGCTATGATGAGCTCTAAACCCTGACTGAAACTCTTCAAACAGATTTTTTCAATCTGAGCTGTTTTGTCGCTCGTCGCGGTTAGGGTTAGGGAATGTTGGGTCATTGTCCCACAAATTCTACTTCA